TAGCCGTGGACCGAAACGCCGTGCCGCCGAGTCCCGTGGCTGTGGACGTGGGCTTCTGGCAGGAAACTACGGCCGCAACTCGGCAGCACGGGGGCGTCGCAGCGTGCCCCCGCCGCCGCCGCGCTGCCCCCCGGGCACGGCGGCGGCGGCAGCAAGCTTGGGCCCAAACGCCGTGCCGCCGAGTCCCGTGGCTGCGACCGTAGACCGTGGGCCGGAAACTGCGGCCGCAGCTCGGCGGCACGTGGTTCTGTTCAAATCGCCAAGCGTGCAGCAGCGCCGAACCACGCTTCCCGGCCTCGGCGCATGCCTTCAGGGGCCCCCTATCGCTGGGCACACCCCTCCAACACCGAACATGCGCCCGGGGGGGAGGGCGGCCCGGGCTGCCCAGGCCAAAGTGGGCCGCCCTCGAGCAAGAGGCGGCCGGTCTGTGTGCTGAATGAATGAATGGACCATGCTCCCAAGAGGAACGCTGATGCCCGAGCCCTGTCCAGCTGCCGCAGCGGGTGGCTGGCGGCTGGCGGGCAGGCCACGCCAGCCCTGGCTGCACCATGCACGCAGCCGGCTTGTGGCGTGGTCACATGCTGGTGCGCCTTGTCCGCCACTGGCGGCTCCCTGCCCGGCCCTGGGCGCCCAGGCCGGGGCGTGGCAGGAGGCGAGGCGGCGAGAGGCGGGGGGAGAGGCGCTCACCGTCTCGCATGTGGTGAAGGTGCCCTGGCTGAGCTTGGTGGCACACGAGTCATCCATCACGGAATTGTACTGCTCCGTCATGGAATTGTACTGCAGTGCAGAAGCGGTACAGGGCAGCAGCTCAGCCATGGGGCAGGTGACGCGCGATGAGCGAGGTGCGGCGGCCTGCGTGGCTGCGAGGCTGCCCTCGAGGGCACGCTGTGCGGAGTGAGCAGCTAGCGTGGCGCCGCGGCGTGCTCAAACGCCCACCCAGCCAGCTCACCGCAGCGAGCAGCGCCTCGAACGCTACCTTCAGCTCGCTGCAGCAGTGGAAAGAAATTGTGTGTGTGTTTGGTGTGGGGTGGTGGCGGGGCGGCAGTCAACCACAACGCCGAGCACAGGCGAGGCGGACACACGGCGCTGCCGCCTCTTATAAGCCACCCAAGGCCGCTGGCAACACATGTGGGGGCAACAGAGCTGGTCCTTCCCCTTTCGCAGGGCTGCCCTCCCATGTTAATCACTCACTTGTAGTTGGTCCTGAGGGTGCTGCAGGCCAGTGGGTGGGTGGGGGAGCACAGGGTTTCGTTAGCGGCCAGATATGATCATGAAGGGGGGTGGGCAGCCACACCAGCTGGCACGGGCTACCAGGCTGCTGCCGCCGCAGCGTCGGCGCGGCTCCTTGTAGCTGTGCTAGATTTCAGGGCATGCGGACTGGCAGGGACTGAAAGGGTGCTGCTGCTGGCGGGCGCCGGTGACCGCCGCAGCGCCCACGGTGCTTACGGCGCCTGGATCCCGCGCGCCTGGGTACCGGCTTCCCCTGCTCACCTTACTCTGGTCCTCAGAGTGGTGTATCTGTCCCTCAAGGTGGCCTCCGGTGTGATGGTGACCCCAGTCTTGAAATCGGCCCAAGAAGGGGGCGTGTACGGCGTGTATACCTCGGGGAAACCGGCCCAGTCGTCCTCGGCGGCGACGGCAGAGGCGCCTGGGGGGGGGGGGGAGGAGTGGCACACAGGCGGGGGTTGGGGCGGCCGCGTTCTTCACGCGGGGCGTGGGCGTGTCCTTCATGTGCCTGAGCCGCTGCCGGGGCAGGAGGGCTGCCGCCATGACCATGCAAGGCAAGGGAATGGGCCGCGGGCCGGCGCCGCTGCAGCCTGACCCCTGGCTGCCTGGCCTGCGATCCACGCCTACCTGCCACCAGGAGCAGCAGGACGGCCGGCAGCGTCCTCATGGGGGCGCGGAGTTAGACGAACAGCAGTGTGGAGGTAGGGGCGGGGCGAACCACGATCAAGAGCCTGCAAACGCCTTGCGGATGACAGAGGGGCAGCGTAGTGTGACGAACACGGCGCGACGGGGGCCCACTTGGGATGCGGGGAGCTGCCACGAAGGGTTTGCCAAAACGGCAGCAGCGCCTAAATTTCTGCTGCGCTCCCTCTGAAAATGTACCCGACATTTGATCAGCAGCGCGCACAGGGGGGCGGGCACAGGGGGCCGGGCACAAGTCTGTGCCATCAGCTGCTGCCCCACCTCCGCTATGGACCCTTGCAGGGATGCTGGCCTGGCCGGAAGAGCGGCCGCAGCATATCTCTGGTGCGGCAACGTCGGCGATGCGGCGGCGTCGGCGGCAGAGCGACGCGAGGCCTGCCGCCGTACACCAGCTGCGGGCCGTAACCAGCCACATTCAGGGTTTTTAGGGAGGATTCAGCACACCCCGTTGCCGGCAGCCTCCTGCAAGCTCACGCTGCCCCCTGGTGCCAGCACCCACCGGCAAGCGGGTGTGCAAGCGGCCGCCTCGCACGCATGTCCCCAGCATTGCCCTAGCAGCTAGCATGGCACACTGCAACCGGCACCTTCCTGCCGTCCTGCTGGGTGACAACACCACAAGGGCGGGCAGGGCACCAGGGACCCGCCGCCGCCGCGGTGGCGGTGCCCACTGCATGGGCGGCAGTGGCGTGCCTAGTAGCTGCCCTCGTGGTACCCTGCCCTCGTGGTACCCAACACTGGCCAGCAGAGACGGCGTCCTGCCAGCCAGGTGCATGGCCAGACGGCGCACACAAGCGTTACACAGAGCGCGTCAAAGAAAGGAGGGCCGAGGTGTGCGGGGCCCTCAGGGCGCCGCACATGGCCTCAGGCATGATAGGCCATGGCATATGACAGCCAGTTTTGGTTGCTGGCGCAGCCATGGCCAGCCACCCGTCCAGCCACCCCGTCACGGGTGTGTGCGTGGGGGCCGAAGAAGCAGAGGGAGGGAGCAGAGGCTGGTGGGGCAGGAGGGAGTGTATGCGGGGGCATGAGAGTTGTGCTGGGGAGAGGGAGCTGAGGGGATGCGGAAGCAGAGGAAGAGCATGTGCCCGGGAGCGTTGCAGCAACAAGGAACTAAGGGAAAGCAAAGGCAGCAGGGGCCCAGCCCCACCCCTCATGGTGGCACAAGGGGGAGGCGGGTCCTAGGCCTCCAGTCGGCGCCTGGTCCGCGTCAGCAGTGGCGGCGGGCAGCATGATCCATGATCCCACGCTGAGCCAGCATGATCCATATGGCGACGGGCTGCCGCGATGGCTGGGGTGGTGATGGGCTGGCCGAGGCTGGGGCGATGATGAGTGGGCGGGCGCAATCAGCTGCGATCAGGCGGCCGGCGGGCGCAGCTTCTGGTCCTGCGAGATGTCGGGCGCCGGCAGCCAGGACAGCGGCGGCGCGTTGGCCGGCAGCACGTGCGGCGGCGGCGGCGCCGACGCCGCCAGCCCGCCGCCGGGCATCACAAAGGCGGCGCCGCCGCCG